CATGGAAAGGGACAACTCACACTTCTAGAAAGACTTGCAATCTGCACTCATAATTACATAATCCCTGGTTAGAGGAGGGCACTAGGAAACTTGTATCTTTGTACTAGATGCTGCTACTGATCTTGCCATCATTTATCCTGACTGCATTCCTAAGTGAAATGTGTTTGATTTACTCAAAAAATGTCTCTGTCTTGTCTTTCCATCAATCCAAGCCTGCTAATGAAATTTTCCAGTATGACAGTTGACCAAGAAGTTGAACAAATTATACAGGAATTCAGAAGAGGAGGCAACTGTTGATTAAAAAACCAAACAGTTCGGGGCGCCTGGGTGGCTCAGTCGTTAAGCGTCTGCCTTCGGCTCAGGTCATGATCCAGGGTCCTGGGATCGAGCCCCGCATCGGGCTCTCTGCTTGGCGGGAAGCCTGCTTCACTCTCTTCCATTCCCCCCTGCTTGTGTTCCCTCTCTCGCTGTCTCTCTCTCTCTGTCAAAATAAATAAATAAAATCTTTAAAAAAAAAACAAAACAAAAAAAAACCAAACAGTTCTTGGGAGAAGTAGCATTGAAATTATGACTAACCGAATCAATCATCAAATAATCAAGATTTATGTCTGACTTACCCCCTTACTGATTGATATATTCACTCAATAAATAAGTTAATATAGTAAAGAAAATAGTAGAGTCTAGCCTTGCTGGCCATGGATACTTCCTGCCCTTTACAAGAACTAATTTTACAGTTTATTTATAAAGAGAATGTTTTTAATTCCCTTATTCCCATGTTCTTACAGGTATTTACGATACTAACCAAGTATTTTAACAATAACAATAAACATCTATTGCATAGTTCCTTATAATTTATATGGTATTTTCTGAGAGTATTGTCTCATTTGATTACCTCAGTAGCCCTGTGAAATATTAGTTAAGTTTAGTGACTTGTTTCTTAAATTCCACATATGAGTGAAATCATATGATAATTGTCTTTCTCTGATTGAGTTATTTCACTTAGCTTAATACCTTCTAGTTCCATCCACATCGTTGAGCATAGGAGAAGGGAGGGAAAAATAAAACAATTCAAAATCAGAGAAGGAGACAAACCATAAGAGACTCTTAATCATAGGAAACAAACTGAAGCTTGCTGGAGGGGTGTGGGTTGGGAGATGGGGTAACTGGGTGATGGGCATTCAGGAAGGCAGGTGATATAATGAGCACTAGGTGTCATACTGATGAATCACTGACCTCTACCTCTGAAACTAATAATACACTATCTATTAATTAATTGAATTTAAAGAAAAATTTTTTTTAAAGTTTAGTGACTTGCCCCAGGCCACACAGCTAGTAAGTAGACAGGCAGCTTGTCTCTGTTATCCCACCATTGAGTCCTAGTTCCTGACTTTGGGAACTCTTGAATCATTAACCTCCTCTCCTTTCTCTGAAACTTGCCCCTCCTCTCTTATTCTGGTAGGTATCCCCAGCCATGGGCAGCCATGTTGTACCATATAACATCTCCACTCAGGCCCTAGTTAATTGGACCTCAGGTATACACTGCACCGAGCCAGAAAATCAGATTCTCTAAAGGAAGACTTTGGGAACTGAAACCAAGTTACAGAGAGTTTGTGTCTCCATCTGTCAGAAGATAAAGTATGTAAATTTAGGAGCTATGAGGGGCCATGTTCCACTTTGAAAACAAATGTCAGATGAGTCTACAAAGAGAGGGATGAAATAGAAGCACAAAGAGAATCAAGGAACAGAAACAAAGAGAGTAGCCAGTGGTTCTGCCGTCCCTGCTCCAGTGCTATGAGACCTACCTGTATTCTTAGCGCTGTATCCCACTTCCTTTCATCTAATTTGAGTTGGTTTCCATTACTTAAAACCAGGGTCTTAAATAGTAATATTGCAGAATCTGCAGAAGGCCAATTAATATCCCATTCACCAGGATATAGTGGCCAAAAGAAAGAAAAGGAAGGAAGAAAAAGGAGAATGGGAAGACAGCAGGGAGGCAGGAAAGAAGGAGAAACAGGGGCAAAGGGGGGAGGAAGGGGAAGAGAAAGGAGGAAGGGAGGAACAGATGGAGGGAGGGATAAGAGGAGAGGTTATTTTCCATATGTGCTATCTATAGCCACAATCCCTCAAGCCTCCCATTCTGTTCCATGGTAGGAAAGGGAATAGATTCATGGCCTGGGTCTGCAGCTATGTGCATGCGCCCAAGAACAATGAAGTTGGTGGGAAACAAACAAACAAACATTTCCAGACTAATCATAACAGTGCTTTGGGAAAATGAACCTGGTGAATGGGTTTGGGAGTGGGGGATGGAAGCTGGGGGCATAGATAAGAGAGATCAGTTGGAAATGGAGAATGAACCCTAACAAAGAAAAGCCTGTACAAATAGAAAGGGGAAGATGGTACGGAAAATGCTAAGAAAGAAGACTGGATGACCCTTAGCAATCAAATGGCTGTGCAGGATAATGGAGGAAAGCAGGAGTCAAAGGTAACTGTCCCAGGTCTGGGGCCTGAGTGACTTCAAGAGTTAAGACCAGTAACTCCATCTGCAAGCAGGAGGAGCACTAGTTTAAAGGGCCGAAGCTCATGCGTACACAAGGTGTCTGCCTGGCCCTCATGGGGACGTCTACCAGTCCAGGAGAAAAGACAATCCAGCAGCCACAGATATGGGAGTTGCTCATCAGGGCTCACAGTTGACACGAGCTCATTTAGGCAGAGCTTTACAGGGAGAGAGAAAGAAGGACAAGCAAAGCCTGGGGGAGGAGCCACATTTGGGAATGGACAGATGGTGAAAATATGACTAAAAAACCCCAGAGAAAGCAAAGGAAATCAGGATAGCACAGTGCCAGGGACACTAAGGGAGAAGAAAGAGTGCAGGAGGGGGCAGCCCGCAGTTTTAAACACCTCAGAGAGGTTAGGAAAAAAATTGAGAATTTGAGACTAGCCATCAAAATTCACCTTAAGAAGTCACTGAGCACTTTCAGTTGCTTGATGAGAGAGAATATCAAATGACAAAGTGACAAAGGTCCCAGGGGTAAGTAGGTAGGAGCATGTAAGGAGAATGAGATCTGCCAAGTGTGTCTGGGGAGGAAGAGAAGCAGAGAAGAGAGGCCTGATCACAAGTGTTTCCTCTTCTCTTTTGTTGTGTTTGGATGGTGGGTTTGGGGTATCATTGCTGTCACTGTTTTGAATATTGAACAACCTGACTGTAGGGAGTGGGGAAGGGACCAGTGACCCCAGAGACTGAAAATGCATAAAAGGGTGTAAAATTGGTAGGAATAAGATCCTGGAAGGGACAAAGAGCATGAGGGTTCCTAAGGAGGAAAATCTGATTTGGAGAGGGAGACAGTTAAGCGAGCATGAGGTCTTCCATCCTCTGAAAAATCACAGGAGAGGCCTCCCCAGAGAAAGGACGAGGCCAGCATGTGAAATCACAGTCCACAGCACAGGCCTAGTAGTCAGCCTGGAACAAATGTTCGTCGAATGAATAAATGATTCTGCTACTCCAATATGGATGCATGACTGGAGCCACAGATGTGTTTGTCGCCGAAGGTTCTTAAAATTTAGTTCAGAGAACAGAGAGTGTTCTATAACCAGGGGCCCTAAAGAGAACCAGAAATAACAATAAGTTCCACTTGCCTTGAACATCAGAGAAGGAAAATGCAATTATGTGTCATACCCAAGTTAATTCAGCCACATCCGTATACTTGGAAGCCACAGCATCAGCAGAATAATTTGCCATTATGAAAGGCAAAGTACTATAAACAGAAAGCATTTTCATTTCTATAAAGGAAACTCCATGACACCCTTCCACGTGGCCTGCCTCTAATGTCCCCTTTTTCCCATGAAATGACTTAATGCCCTCCAGCACCAACATTCTGAGGGCAGCGTGCACCCCGTTTCCAGTGACCAGGCAAAGAAGGAAGGTCAGTACATGACCAAGGCAGAGCAAAGATGATCACGCATTCAGAATCAAAACTGAGAGCCGCAAATGACTAATGATCATAACCGAGTGTACCCTTCAGCAGAAAACAGAACAAAACATGCTCAGTGTGATGGGGGGAAAAAAAAAATCTGGTATGCAAGATGTAAATAAAATGTAAAGTAACTAAAAAGAAAAAGAGCTTAGTCATTTTTGGAAAATTGGCATGTTACTTACTGCCATTTATTGATGCCCTTGAAGGGAACTGTGCTAAATAACCTAGGTCTGCAGAAGCAAATGATTTAGGGGCCTCAGACCCTTGTTGTCTTTCTAAGAGCTAATGCAAGGGTTCTTAAATTTCCTGTGCCATCGACCTCTTTGGCATTCTGGTGAAGCCCATGGGCTCCTTCTCAGAATAATATTGATAAATGTGTAAGTAAGTTTACAAAAGCAACCGAAATTGGATTATAATTGAGTTTCAGTTTGTGTTTCATAAAAAATAGAGAATTTTTGCTCCGAACCTGAATTCACAGACTCCAGGTTAAGAACATTTGGTTGTCCCTTTTATAAATAGAACACATATAATTGGTGTTCACCAACTGCAATTATTACCAAAATAAACACAAGCTTTTACCTTCTAGAACTATTTGGACATCAGTGAGTGATCAGACAGCAAAGACCCAGAACTGTGACTGCAGCCGGCACAGGAAAGATTAAAGTCCACAGATGCAGAGAATCTCTGATACACTCTGACAAGCAACATCCAAGAAATTCACTTTACTGCTAAACTGGCTCCTGGAAGGGCCCTGAAGAAAGATGAGCACAGTGGTGTTCCTTCAAGTATTCCAGCCTCACATGATTTACTCTCTGTGTCCCGAAAACCCATAATGGGCATATGACAATCTTAACTATCCAAGATCATGTTGCTAAGTATATTTCTCTCTGCAATATTTTGATTAAAATTCTACTAGAAGAAAGATTCATTTCACCAAAATTCTAAGTTAGGCATTGTTCATTAAAATATTTTAAAATGCATGATAATTGTAGTGTTTATAATAATATACATGAAATACTTACAAAGCAAAGCCACAGAAGTACAGATTTCTTTTTATTTACTTGGTTGGTTGATTGTTGTTGGTATTGGGTTGTCTTTATCGCAAAGGTTAGGAGCAACCGCCTTAACTAATAAGGTATCCCAGCAAAAGTGGGCAACTGATGATCTATGAGACAGGAAATAACCATAAAAGAAGCAATAATCAGTAATAGGTGAGGATCTTCATGGCATTACTCAAGCCAAGAATTTGTTATTTTCCCACCTAAAACCAAGTGTATTAATTTCCTAGAGCTGCCATGACAAGTTACCATAGGACTGGTGGCATAAAACAACAAAAATTTATTATCTCACAGTTCTGGAGGCCAGAAGGTGAAAATCAAGGTTTCAATAGGGTCAGTTCCCTCTGGAAGCTCTGAGGAAGAACCTGTTCCAGGCCTTTCTCGCAGCAACCCTTGGCATCCCTTCACTTGGGTCTGCATAACATCCCTTTGCTTGGGTCTGCTTCTGTCTTCATCTGGACTTTTTCTCTGTGTCTCAAACCATTCTCTTACAAGGATACAAGTTATTGGATTTAGAGCCCACCCTAAATCTAGGATGATCTCATCTCAAGATCCTTAACTACTTACATCTGCAAAGACCTGATTTCCAAATAAGTTCACATTCACAGGGGACTCACAGGGTTGAGGACTGGGATATATCTCTTAGGGGGACACCAATTCAACTTACTACACCAAAGAATCTTAAAATTTCATACATGCTAGCTACTGAGGCTTTTGGTAGATGATGACAGGAAATACACTAAGTATAAAGCATTTTTTTCCTTACACACAGTCTCAGTGGATACTTCTGTATTTTTAAAAAACTGCACATCATAAATTCTTAGCACTGCAGATCTGAACAATAAACACGGGTAGTATATGTAGCTACAGAACTGAAATAGAGTTGGTGCAGACTGTGTAGTTGAAACAGAAAGTTAAGATATTTTAGGGACTTAACTTTGAGAAATTATAGACACAAACCAGAAACTCCCGGTAATCATCTCTGAAATGAGCTGTGCCCAGGCCAGTCCTGGAAGGTGTGGGCTAGTGTAGGATGGAAAAACAGGATGAAGACAGATGTCTCCTTAGTCACTGCTGCCTAAGGGTGTTCCTCGTTCTTGAAGGAAATAGGCTGAGTATCACCCACCCCGTGTTGGAGCTATGACTGAATTGTTTAAGATATGCTGTCTATATTTGTTCTCAAATTAGCACTTGGTGAGTTTTCAAAAATTTATAGTTCATCTAGTGGTATGTAGCCAACTCTGCTAAACTAAGGCTTTTATGTTTACATAAAGTCCTAAAAAAGTGGGGAAAAAGACTCTTAATGAGGTATTAAGAAAAATGGTATCTGAGCTGGGTAGACCAACTTATACTTGCATTCAGAAAAGGGAGACTGCTTGATGCCCAAATATGGAAATTCTTGTTTGGATCCAACACCCTTTATATATCCTAAGACTTTAAAAGCTAGGTGCCAAGGTATGGTGATATGGCCTTTGTTCACATATATAACTTCATGAATATTTTTCATGTCTTCAAAATAGAAAGAATATGGTCACTTAAAAACTAGAAGTATGCATTCAAAGGTGTAAATATTTTATCAATTTGTTCACCTACTTATTGATACTATATAGTCCTTGGTAGATTTACAGTTCTTAGACTTACTAAACAGATTAACCCCACCTTTCCAGAAAGGACCCAGTCTTATTCTTCTTTGGTATCTCCCGTGATGCCTAGCACAGTTCTTGGGGTATAGTGAATCCAAGATTAATGGTAGCTACAAGATTGCCTGATACTTCATACTAAATGTTTGTTCCTTCTTATGGAAATGATCACCTGCAAATGTGATGATCTGAAGGGATTTATGCTAGAGAAACACTGCTCAACATTTTTCCCACTGAAGCAACAATGAAACCTGAGTTTGGGAAACACCTAAGTGTGCTGGTACATTCTGTGCCTTAGTCTCCTCACCTGTTGTACATGCCTCAGAGGGTTGTTGTGAGGTTTAAATAAATTAATAGTTGAAAAGTGTCCAGAAGAATGTCTGGCACATCAGAAGTTCTATATAAGCATTTTTCTTAGCACACATGTTCCCATCACTAGCCTTCCAGAAAAAGATTTGTTTGAACAAGAAAACACATTAATACATCTTTCATCCACATTGCTGGGGAACAATGTCTTCCAAATTATTGTAATTACTACCTTGAAGTAGTCAATCCAATCAATCCATCAGTCAGTATTTATTGAGCACCTACTGAATGCCAGTAACTGTTCTCCAGCAATACAGTAACACAGTAATGAAGAAGAAACGGTTCCTGGCCTTCAACAAACTTACACTCCAGCGGGAAAAGAAACACATAAATATATCAATAAAAAGTTAGATACTTTCGGGTAATATGTACCATGAGGAAAATAAAACTATGTAATGCGACATACAGTGCCTACCTGAACGGTGGTGGATGGGAGAGCTAATCGGAGCTGAGAAGGTCATTAAAGGCAACAAGAAGACAAGCTGAGCTGAGACCAGAATAATGAGGCAGTCACTTGTAGCTCTGAGCTAAGACCTTTCCAAGCAGAAGCCGTAGTAACTACAACATGCAAACATCCCGCAATGGGAAAAAATGCTCAAGGTTAGTGTATGAAGTCATTACTTGAACGCTATCAGCTACAATCCATTGGACAGGGATGGACTGAAGACTGGGAAAAGGAAGAAGATAATTGGAGGAGTGGTCTTTATGCAGGTAGTGTGGGGTGGGATCCAGAGCATACCTGGAGAAAATGGCCTCAAGGGCAAAAAGACCCGGCAGAGTGTGTGAGGATGAATATGGTGGGCTCTTAGAACTGGAGGTAGGAAAATTAGATCATGTTGAGTTCATAACATCTGACTGAGTGGGGAAGAGAAGTAGAGATTTAAGGAGTCATTTCAGAGAGTTAGGCATTGAATATGCTTGCCAGGTACAGTAGGATGTCACTTAGTGTAATGTGCCATGTGTGGTCATGGTTTTGAAATGACTCCAGCCAGCACAACTCTGTGATTTTCTCCAGCAACACTTAGCTGCTTTGAGTGGAGGTGCAAAGTAGGCAGTTAGCTGGGGGAAACCAAGGTTGAGATTTTGCCAGATAAGGGAAATGCACAAAGAGATAGCCAAGGGAATCAAAAAGCATTTGCAAGAAAAGAGTCATAGTAGTATACAGAATCTCAGCTGGGTAAGAGAAGCGAAAAGATGGGGGGAAGCAAGAGCAAGTGACAAATAGAAAAATAAATAAGAGCAGGAATTGGAGGTCTTGATGAAGTTAGAAGCTAGCAAGAGTGGGACAGACAGGGTGAGTGGACTGGATGGACAGAGGTCATGATGAGAAAATGAGAGTTTTGAAGTGAAAGTGTGGCAATTATTAGTTATGAAAAGGTGGATATGCTTGACTATGAGTGGTTTCTCGGGAAGGACGGCGGGTCAGTATAAAAGACTGACTTTATGGGACACCTGGGTGGCTCAGTTGGTTAAGCGTCTGCCTTTGGCTCAGGTCATGACCCCAGGGTCCTAGGATCGAGTCCCACATTGGGGGTCCTTGCTCAGCAGGGAGCCTGCCTCTCTCTCTCTGCCTGCCACTCCCCCTGCTTATTCTCTCTCTCTCTCTCTCCCCCCACCCAACAAATAAATAAAATCTTTTAAAAAAAAAACTGACTTTATGACAATCATTTTGGATAGAAATGCCATTAAAATGGTTTTTATACCATTCTTTGTATGATTGAAGCACACTAAACATAATGTTTCTTGTCATAATAGGGCTATTAATATGAAGATTAACATATTATGACATATATGGTAATTCCCTTAGTATTTCCTGATTGTTTTGTTCCTACAATAAAGTATCCCAGACAGTCATACTTGGAGCCCTTGAGTCTGTTTTTTAGAGTTTTCCTGTCTCTTCCTTTTTCCCTTTCAGTCATAGTAGCCTTGAACCTGAACTTCTTAGAATTCACTAAAATGTCCCTGAGCGAGGGGGTCTGTCATGAGCATGCTATGAAGGCACACACGAGTTGTGCCTTTCCACAATGTCAGCTGTATTCAATCGTAAAGCAAAGTTAAATCACAATTATAAAGCAGGTTCAGGATTCCAGACTCAATGACATCTCACCATGTGATTAAACTTGGCTTCTGACACAGCACACGGAGCAGGACAGAAGATAACACACAAGATAACAGAAGGGTGCAGGAAGTTAATGAACCACATGTGAAGTCAGTCTGTGGGCACGCAGCTAAGATGAGGCCTCGGTCAGGTCCGGGTCAGCTCTTGGCACTGACTGCTTCTGATGTTCAAGCAGCGAGGGATCCTGGTTCTGTTCGGAGATCCATCAGGCAGAGCCTTCGGCTGCTGTTGCCTTTTTTAAGTGGCCAGACATAGAGGGGTCATGTCTGAAGAGTCTGACAGTTTACTACCCAAATCCTCTCCTTTGTAAAGGGATTTAATGGATCTCAGGCCTCCGCAGACCTCCTCTGGTTCTACTCATTATCAGTTCTGGGGTGTCAGCTGACACTGGTCCTGGGGATATCTCCTAGCTACAATACCTAAACTGCTTGCGTCATTGCTTAACATGAGAGACTCCATTTTGCTCTCTACAGGGTCCTAATGGCGCTACAGTTAAAGTCAATGTACTTGACTGAATCTGTTTGGTTTTCTTAGGTGTGACCTTTACTTGGCTCTGGTCAAATAAGGCTTTATTCTTTGAAGGGGAAAAGGGCACCAGGATCGAAAGATGTCAATCCCTCCAAAAAATAGTAAGGCTTTATTTCTAGCAAGTGGATTTTGACAAGATTTGACAAACTTCTCTAAGTTTCTAGTGTTTACTTAAAATATGTCTCTTCCTTTCTTCTTAAGGAACAGCCATTAAGATAAGAATGGCCCTGGATTTAAGTTCAAAGTTAAAATAGTTCTGATCTAGGGTTTTAAGTAATTCATATTTGAGTGACATAAAAAATTATAACCTACCAGTCCACTGCCTCCAAGTATGCTTTCATGTGTGGTCTTCCTCATGTATCAAATCCACTAGGTAATCACTGCTTTACAAAATGCAAGAAAGCACAAATTAAGAATATTCCAAATAGCCACTAGCCCCACCAACTCAGAGATCTACCTAAAGGGGACCAGGAGAACAAGCTATTTTGTTTTCCTCCACCACTTTTTTTTTTTTTTAATGATTCTAAATATTTTTTTACTTAGGCCATTTGAAAGCATCCATCCAACAGCCCTTTTTCCTGCAATCGTTATATAAAAACACAGGTGACTGTTTTGACTAATCCAAACCCTTTCAGCACCTTCTGTACGGTCCCCAAATGCGAAGAGGGTAGGCTCTCCTTCGTTTTCTATAATGAATGCTGGACATCCTCCCACAGCCTGTTTACAAGTGCTAACTGCTGGGACTTAGTGAGATATCTCACTACAAAGACGCTTTCAGAAAAAAGACCCAGAACTCCATTACATTTTCACAAAATGCTACTGCAAACATAGAAGATACAGAGCTGGGAGGGAAGTAATTAAATGAAAAGGTTATAGCTGAAAAAGAAGTCTGGGGGGGGGGAAAAAAAGCAGAACCCTGGGAATAGCAAGAGATAAGTAGCCAGAGGCATTGGCCTTTTCTGAACGATTTTAGCACAAAAATGTTTGGCAATCAACAGAGCCAGTTACTTGAGCTTTCCATTTCCGCTGGTGAAGAGCCGGTTTAATCACATCCATACAGTTTTTACATGAATGGTTTCAAAGATCTTCAATTTCTACATATTTCTCTATGGGTTTCTACCAACGCATCATTTTTCCTTTGAAACACTCATTCATTCATTCATTCATTCATTCAACAATATTTATGGAGAGCCTGCTACGTGCCAGTCACCATTCTAGGTGTTACATACACAGCAGACCACAAACAGCACAAAAATTTTTTGTCCCCATGGCTCCGGCAATCCAGGGGAAAGACAAACAATAAACATAGTAAATCATTCCATTACAATGCAGTAGAAAGTAGTGAGAGCTATGGAAACAAAGCAGAGAAAGGGGGGATGCAGGAAAGGGAGGTGGCCTGGGCATGTAGGGACATAAATTCAAATAGGCTTGCTTGACTGCTCTTTCTGAATGATCTCTAAGTTGCACTGTTAAGTGAAAAAAAGCAAGGAGTAGAATGTAACTAGTAGGCTGTCACTTGGATTTTTTAAGACTAAATAGACATGTTTTCATATGCATAGCCTGTCTATGAAAGGAATCCAATAAATCATCAACAGGGTTGCCTCCGGGAAGGAGAACTCAATGTCTGGGGGGAAATGCTTTCTTATGCACTGCTTTCAAATCTTGAATTTTGCACCTGTGCATCAATTTTTCAAATATTTTAATTAATCCTTTCAAATGAAGTTTTACATAACCAAAAACAATCTACAGTAGTGAAATCAATTGTTTGGCAAATAATTTATACATATAAAACAAATCATCTATATTTGGCATTTCCTTACCAGCATGATAAAGTTTTATAGTTATTTTTAAGGCAATTCAAGGAAGAAAAATAACCCTTAGCAAGTAATTGATCTTTATAAACAGTCAAAAGTATGCGGGGGGAAAAAATGGCCTCATACTTTCATTATTCTTGTCTTTTTTCTCCTGCGATCTGCTTTACACTCATTTCATTGCAAATTCTGTTTGAGCAGAACAATGGATTAAGCTACATTCACCCTTTTCTTTTCTTTTTTTGTCTCTTCTTCAGTATATGACAATTCAACAGTTCAACTAATCTTCCTTACTGGCATCAGGCACAGATTAGCTCGCTGTACTGGATTCACCTCTACCAATATTTCCAATACTAACAGGAGCCACCATCCACTGTTGAAACATGACTCTCCCAGCAACTTGACAATCAGCTTCTTTACCAGGAGGCTGAGATAAAGCTTATTTTCAGTTTTTGAATTACCAAAACAATATCTCCATTAATTTATCAAAACATGTATCATTTATCAAAAATTGCATTTACCAAAACATTAACTCCACTTCAATATTTCTTCATCTCTTCAGGCTTTGAAGATCTTGTTCTTTTAAAAAAAAAAAATTATTTATTTATTTGAGAGAGAGAGAGTGTTTGCGCTATTGGGGGGAGGGAGAGGGACAAGCAAACTCTGAGCTGAGCACAGAGCCCAAGGCAGGGATCGAGCCCAGGACTCTGAGATCATGACCTGAGCCGAAATCAAGAGTTGGATGCTCAACCAACTGAGCCACCCAGGCGCCTCTGAAGATCTTGTTCTTTTTTTTTTTTTTTAATTTTTTTTTTTTAAGATTTTTTATTTTTGCAAGAGAAAGAATGAGAGACAGAGAGCATGAGAGGGGGGAGGGTCAGAGGGAGAAGCAGACTCCCCGCCGAGCAGGGAGCCCGATGCGGGACTCGATCCCAGGACTCCAGGATCATGACCTGAGCTGAAGGCAGTCGCTTAACCAACTGAGCCACCCAGGCGCCCCTGAAGATCTTGTTCTTTGATAGTATCATGGCCAAGTGACCTCCTCTGAGATCAGCAGGTGTGGCCTGGGCCACATCCAAATTTCTCTTGGGGAAATCTGCCAAAGCACCACAGATCTTGTGACTCAGAGAGTCAGAGACTCAGATAAAGTGGACAGGGATTCCTTCCCCATTTCCAAATCCCAGAAGTAACTGCCCTTTACCTCTAGTCGGTGACTTTTTTTTTTTAAGATTTTATTTATTTATTTGACAGAAATGGCAAGAGCAGGAACACAAGCAAGGGGAGTGGGAGAGGGAGAAGCAGGCTTCCCGCCGAGGAGGGATCCCAATGCGGGGCTTGATCACAGGACTCTGGGATCATGACCTGAGCGGAAGGCAGAGGCTTAATGACTGCGCCACCCAGGCACCCCTAGTCAGTGACTTTTTAAAGTATTATTATTCACTCATCTCACACACTCAACTCTTCCACTTTTACCTTCTCTTGAATTTCTAGTGACAGAATCAGGGTCTTTAGGGCATGTTTTATTTTTAAATTCTTTATTGTCATTCCTGACATCATCGCCTAGCCCAGTCTCCAATATTGTCAGTGTCTGGCATATTTTCCCATCAGAGCTTTTTTGGGTAATGGGTGGGTGGCTAAATGTTGTTGGGTTTTGCTTCCTGTTCTTTGTTGGCAGGAATCCTAGAGATTGGTATAGTAAATAAATTCAGGTTATGAACCTGGTTTTAGCCCTTTGCAGTTTCACAGTTTGGAGGGGAGAGAAGGTGGCTCTATTAGTCCAGGAGAGTAAGAAAGAAGTAGAAAAAAAAGTTGGCTGGAACAAGAAATTAAATTTCCACATCTACCAAAAAGTAGCTGAGAAACCTCAGCCAGAGGTTATTCACTCAAGTCCCAAATCTGCTACCAAAAAAAAAAAAAAAATTGTTTTTCCCCCCAGACAACAAATGTCACTCTCATTCTGGCTGCATGGTGTGATGAAGCCACCTTAGGAGGCAGTCTTACTGGAGAAGCAAGACTGAGCAGGTGCCCTTCTCATCCCACCCAGTCCCACTTCCTTAGGCAGGATGGTACAGATAACAAACACACAATTACGGACACGTGGAACTCAAAAAGCCCAGGGTGGAGAACCCTCTTCAGGTGTAGAGTTCCAACAACTTCAGAAATCTGTTCGTTCTCACTTCTTCTTTTTTTTTTTTTAAAGATTTTATTTATTTGTTAGAGAGAGAGGGAGTGGGCGAGAGAGACTGAGCAAGGGTATAAGCAGGGGGAGCAGCAGAGGGAGAGGGAGAAGCAGGCTCCCTGCTGAGCAAGGAGCCTGATGCAGGACTCGATCCCAGGGCACTGGGATCATGACCTGAGCCGAAGGCAGACGCTTAACCGACTGAGCCACCCAGGCATCCCTCCTTCTCACTTCTTCACCCTCCTTTGCCTTGACTGGCTTCTTTCTCAAGCTCACTCTCTCCTCACAGTAACCTAGTGTTTACCTTCTAGCAGCTCCACAACCTTCTGTAAAGAACATGCTTCCTTCTGAGTTGTTCCAGGAAAGATACCTATTGGCCCAGCCTAGGTCACATGTCATCACTGAACCAATCACTGTGGACAAGACTGTGTGCTCTGATTGGCCAGGTCTAGGTCATGCATCTATTTCTGAAACTGACACAGCCCAACCCCCCCCAGTGCTGTCACTTCCACCTGGACCACAGGGACTGAGATTGTGCAAGGGTGTGTTTCAAAGGAAAATAAAGATGCGATTAGCATAAAGAGAAATGGATTCTGCAAGGCTAGGACAAGAGGAAGTCAGTGGATCACCAAGGGGCCTCACTTCCTGGTTCATGGGGGTCTACTTTGAGAGTGAACCGCTCCTCAAATGTTGTGCCCTAGGCTCCCCATTCATCTCACCCTAGTCCTGACCTTGGATGCTAGGCAAGCAAAAGACAAAATACTCATTATACCCATATTCAAAAATATCTCCCAGAGTGCCTGAAATCCATCCCCCCCCCCATTAGAGATCTATTTCTTTGGATAAGCCAGACATCTCCAGGAATGCTTCAGTTTTGTTTTGTTTTTCAAAAACAGCTAGAGGGCAAATGTTTAGGTCAACAAGAGTTTCCCAAATACATGCTAACTATAGACTATTAAGTCAGTCACCTCTCCAGCCAGCCCCCTTGATAATGTGTGATACACTGTAAGGAAAGGCCTTGGGGAAGAGGGAGGAGTGGTCAAGACCTGTACAGAAAACGGCCCCTTAAGAGGAGAAAAACGACAAAGAAAAGGAGATACAAGGTTAAAGGCATACTTTCATTCAATCATTTAATACTGGCACTAGGCCTACTTCATCAATTTTCCCAAGTTCTGCCACATAGAGAAATGGAGAGAGCAGGCTGGCAAGGGAGGACATGGGAGAAGAGACTCAGGGCAGAGTAAACATGGACATTTCTAAACAGGAATGCTTGGGGTGTGCGAAACATCTGGGAAGGCTTACCTGGAGTTCTGATGATAAGCTTTCAGGACAAGGATGAATTCTGCCAACAGCAAAGCCTTGGGTCTTCAGGTTGCTGGCATCTTTGAAAGTTTAATTTTCCTGACAGTAAGGGTTTAAGGAAAGACTAGGAGAGTTATGAATTTTGTGTCCCTCCTAGGACCAAAGGAAAAATCAATCTTTAAACCGCATGATAAATAAGTCAAGCACCTCTTAAGGTTAGTACTAATAAAGACAATTTCTTCTATCCTTCATATTCTAGTAATTTCATCTTCCCTTTCTGGGACTCTGGTTGCCTTTGGCAAAGAAAAGAGCTTACATAACTGAAATATATCTGCTTCTCATAAAAATCGGGTTTTAAAATTTTTTGCCCACCTGAAAATAAGTATAAAAAGCAATGATTCTGTTATTAGTTGGAGGCTGCATTTGGGAATATGATTGTCCATATGTCGACTCATTATGGATCCAAACACCACTCAGAAACCAGAGTGACCTGGTCCGTAGACCCAGCTACATGCTCCTGGTGGCAGATATGTCACCATGGTGTCAGTGGTGGATGGCTAGATGCCAGCAAACTTGGGATCTGATAACTCACTCCCCCACTTAGAGAGCAGACTTCTGCATCAAATGGCTTCCTCAGGACATGTCTCCAGGGAAAGAATGTGATGGCTAGAACGTTCGGTGCCCTCAGCAACTGTATTTTCACAGTAATTATTTCCTTTATATTCCATTGACAACTAACAGATCAGCATTCTGGTTGTAAGTGTCAAGTTCAGTGTGCTAAGAATCAAGTTTCTGTGCCCACAAGGCTTAAAGCCAGATGCTAGCCCAGGAGCAAGTCACCCAAACCCTGATGCTCAACCATGAGGCCTCTAAGGGACACACCAGGAGGCCTTCTTTCCTAGTTGCACCCCTTTCTCTCACCTTGTCAATCTTCAAGCTGGAAAAATTGATGCTATAACATCAATGAATACTTTTTCAAGTTCTTCCTCATCCAAAGAATACTATCAGATGAACCTTTTACAAAATATAATTGACAGTAGGTTTATTAATGAGTGCTATAAATACTGAGTACCTATTATAAGCAAAGCACTGTGCTAGGTGTGGTGGAGAATCCCAGGCTGAAAAGGATAGGGTGTCAGCCCCCGAGCTTGCAGTCCAGGAGAGGACATACAGACACAATAACTTTCTCAAGAGGCAAACCGTCCTAACTGCTGTATTGGAAGTATCAACTACACTGTACTGAGAAAGGAAAGTTTAATTGCAAGGACAGGCTCAGAAAAGTCTTCTTGGAAGATGTGAGGTCTGAGCTAACGCCACAAGATACTCTGGGGAGAGCTGCAATTCAGGCAAAGGAAGGGTTGGCTCAAAAGTGCTGGGAACAGGCCTCCATGTGGCTGAACATCTGGGTCTTAGCAAGTATGCCATGGAACTTAAGACCAGATGGCTGGGCAAGAGCCAGACTGGGAGGACTCCAGGTTCTAAACTGTAGAGTTTGAGAGTGCAGGGGTGCTTTGCCCTATAGGTTATCATGATGAATTAAATCTTTAAACCCCTTATAGCTATAGCTTTTGAGCTCCTCCTATACAGAAAGACATATCAATCCAATTGCATAATTATATATATTATTATTCAATATTATATAGATATATATCAACAATAAGGTATCTGCGTCATCATCCCTCCCTTTCGTTTGGCTTGTTTCTTTTGAACGATTTAATCTACCTAAATTAAAACCTCCAAATTCAAGATCACCCGCTATGGGCCCCAAGAGAACCCAAGGCTTCCAGATAGAGGGGGAAAGATGTCAAACTCTTAGGCTGAACTGAGACAAAATGGCAACTGGAGAAATGCCTCGAAGACCAGGTAGTGTTTTCGCAGCCACTCAGAGCTGTCTGGCTCCTTCAGGAGACGTATCCTCCTCAGCCTCTCTAAACTTCCATCTGCCTGGAATGCACAGATTCTAAGGACTCTGCGGAAAACCCTTGAAAACTCCCGCAGGCTGATACCATTCAGCAACATCTGCAGCAACCGCCGCGGTAGAGCGCCGGAAGTTCTGGTTCTTCCAGTTGCCCGGGATTCCCAGTTTGAACTCTTCCTGGAAACGCTTTCTTCACCGCTTATCTTGCGAAATCTAGCGGGCCCTCCCCTCCACTCTCTCCGGCCTCTTATACTCTCGAGAGGCACCACCCGCAGCCCTGAGCGGAGCTGCAGCTGACGGTGGCCGCCTCGCCTCCCAAGCACTTCCCAGCAGGTGGGTCCCGTCGCCGGCTATTGCCTCGTACCTTTCGCCACGCTGCCCCGCTGCCTTATCCGCTTCAGCCCAGCTTGAGCCCCCGCTTCCAGGACCTCACTCCCCCGCCAGCTCGCACCGGCAGGGAGGTGCAGGCAAACTCCCCGCCGCGCCCCCGCGCCCCTCTCCAGGAAAGGCCATCCAAGAGTGTCGCGCGATCAGTTAAGCAATTCAGCAAGCATCTAGCTTCCTGGAGTTTTATCTTTCATCCCTTCCCGAGGGTGCAGAGAAACCCGAAGGTGGAAGACTTAGGGTTTGTATTCCTCTCTGTACCTTACTTCTGGACGAGAGCAATCTTGTGACGCTCACCGAGAAGGGAGCCTGGAAGAATGTGGTTTTGGCAATCTCCGCAGTCTCAGATCTTCACCAAGAGCTGAAATTTGTCCTGAGACCTGCAACCACTTCGGTCCTTGACCTTGATTTAAATTTCCTTCTGTAATTTCGTGATTGCTTTTCCAGAGAAATATTGTTTGAAATGTAATTTATTGTGAAGAATAAACATAGCCTGGTTTCCCTGTTTGTCCAGAGGCAGCTAGAAAGTTTGTTTTTTTTTTTCCTCCTGATGGTAATGTAGGAACTTTTTAAAAAGATGACCGGTGTAATGAAGGTGAATTGGATGGAGAATAGGGGAGGGAAGTTGGAGAATTCTACTCCTAGTTCTAACTAGCAGCTCACCACCTCAGCCTCCGTTTCCACATATGTAAAATAAAAGGCTACTGGACCAGATGATCCACAAAGTCCAACACTCTAACTCTAACAGGGTGAAAATCCATGACCAAAGACGCTTGCTGGTTTGAAATCTATTGAAAATCTCATTAATGCAATAAGCATAACTAAGTAATTGCTTTCTTCATAATAATGCAAGTTTCATTTTTATAGAGATACTACCCAGTTGTGGAGCATCTCTTCCCACACAAGTATCTTAGACTTCTACCACATTTATCATTCAGAGAATATTCTCAGCTTTCAAACCCATTCTTCAGTCGTGCTATGTGAGAATGTCCTATTCCCTATAAATGGCAGTCATATAAATGTCACGCACATGAAAGAACATTTTTTCTGATACAGTAGGTGTAATTTTTATAAAATGGCACATTTATTTGAAGCCGTAACTTTTTTGAGATATGGCCTTTTGCAAGGCCCGGAGTTTTTCAGAATGCTGTGATTTAGCACAGGATGAAATTCCACCTGCATGTATCCTACCTGCATGGCAAACATTGCCAACCCAGAAAATGGGATGGAGCTTTCCCCTATTTATCAGGCTTCGAGGTTGTAAAGTAAATGGTACATGTGTACAGAGAAATTGGGTCATAGCACTTTCTCCATCGGCAACATTTATGGTCCTGCTGAAATTCACATAGAAACTTCAGGTTCAGAAACCGATGTGTACAAGATGTGACCCCTAACTTGAGAATAATTTCCAGACTCCCGCCATTGCTTAAGCTTGCTAACTGTTGTTAGACGTAACCAAATAAATTTGTATAAGCCTATTAATAAATTGAAAACCTGGGGCCTTGAGCCTTGTTCTGAACAGTTTTAAGAAAAATAGATTCATATGTCATAGAATTTCAAAATGGAAGCAACCCTGGGCACTCTGCTCTTCCCTGTCTCCTAAAGGACCACCCCTAGTCACTCTACCATTGTTAATGCCATTATTAAAAGGACATAAATTCTCCTTTTAAAGTCTCCCAAGTAGCTGATCTCCCACAGAAAAACAATCCAGTGTTTCATGATCCTCACCATCTGCTTCTCTTTATAAGTCAGTTGGATCTTTTGTCAACTGCTGTTTAAAAATCATTTCCTTTTAAAATCTTAAGAAGGCTAATAAGCTATGGTCAAATATATGTACATAATCACCCTTCAAACTTGAAGACTTGCGAGGGTACCTTGTAGCTCGTTTCCTCTGGGTTGTCCTCCAAGAAGGAGGTTATATGCTAAGTGCCTGCACCCACATCTACCTATAATTCTTACTCTAAGATTCTACACAGGCTATGAATATGTAGTTTTCTGGGTGGGAGGGTTTTTTTGAAGTTATAGTTCCTCCAGAAATAACAGAAATAAGACTTTACAAATATAAGAGCTCTGAAGTCACCTATTTGACTCTGTTCTTTGTAAATCCAAAGAAAATGAGTCATTAGTTAATGATGAAGACTTTCTGAACAGTTCTGCATGATGTGTTAAACCTATTCAAGATATTTTGAATGACTTTTAGGACATTTCCAAAATGATCTGAATTAACACTTGTTTTTTTGTTGACAAGAAATCAGTCCGGGAAGGAATAAAGCCAAGTAAGTAACTAAAGGATAATTAATGCTTAAAACAATGCATGATAAGAAAACATACTTGGCCTATATACATAAACAATTTCTTCTTCCAAAATCATTAAGGAAAAGAGAACAAAGAATGCTTGTACTGTTTGAAGATCATCTTTCATAAATATACCACTAAAAAAAAAAATGTACTATTCTACAAGCATTTCCACTCTAACTAGGCAGGACATTGACATCCTGATCCAAATGCTTCTCCACAATGTCCCAGAAGAGTTTATTACACCATGTGTGAGAGTTCTTACCACACTGTACTTTGACAGTCACAGATTTCTGAAAAACTTATTTTGAGAGAAATATGTTTCTTTTAAATGTAGACTATATGAGCAATCCTAATGTCAGGCTAAAGTAAAGTCCACTTTTCATCTTAAAAGGAAAAAAAAATGTGTGTGAAGGGTAATTTTGAAAAGTTAGGAACTATAATTTAAAAAAAAAAAGAAACCTAAGAGGTAGCAATATCACTATATATCACGCCTCATAGAAGGTTATTAGAACACAAACTAGGTATTCTCTTTTGCCTCAGCTCCATATACAGAAGGGAAAAAAATAGCAAGGGGCTCCAATCAGGCCTTCAGTGATGATGGCACCAATGCTGGGAATACGAGGGGGACAATTAACGGTCCACGCTGATTATGCATGTTTCATCTAGACCTGCTCCTTTTGAAGAGTGTGGAAACAGCTTTGAGCCCAAGTTAAAAAGTGGCTGAAGACATTTTGCACAGACTTTAGTATACTTTCTTGTCCTGTTTCCCAGGTAAATTACTGCCCATTCTTTAACATGGGGTTCACGGTGCACCTTCCTGTGCATGGGTCCTTACACATCGCATTATAGCAGTTTGATTCTGTGTCTACATCGTCCCCAAGACTGGAGCACAGCGCAGCACCTGGCACAGAGTCTGTTCAAAAAGTTTACTGAAAGCATGAAACCCTACCAAGACATTGATCAAACTGATCTTGATTTTTGGAATATGTGAACCCTTATGGCTGTAGCAGGTTATGAGCCTGGATGCCCGTGTACTGTACTACTTAAGGTCAAAGTGTCCAGATTTCGACTACTTGCCATTTGAGGAGAAGCATGAACTTGCCGTGTACTGTACAGTACATATAAAATAAATAGTGCGAATTATTGTAAGTATTTTTAAAAAGAAGGAAGAAATTGCAGGAACCTTGGTGTTCTCATTAACCTTAATTTTAGTAACCTTATTATGTTGCTATACTGGGTAAGTTTCATAAAAAAAACTGTAACTATAATACTTTAGAGTCTAATTCATTTTAAAGAGTGATATAATATGATTAAGGCATTTGACTGAGGTCATGAAAATTGGAATATTGAATTTTTAACAGTTTTAATTAGTTTAACTTAAGTAAAACACGTTAGCCCTTCTTTAATACCTGAAAGCATGGCATAAGCTACAAAACCTATGAACAGTTCAAAAGAATTAAGTTATAGCAAGTCATTCTTATACAAAAAAAAAAAAATGATTATGCTTCCAGTTATTTCTTCATAGGAAAGGAAAGGATGTTGAGGAGAAAGCAGTTCGCAGGTTGGCAAACGGTTCAATTCAGTTAATGATGAAAGGTGCCAGTTGCCTCTGTTTTTCCCAGACTGTGATCTCCAGTTGTGCATTCTTGAGGCATATCTGGAAAATGGGAAAGTATGTGTTTGGGGATGGTAGTACACAAAGAGGCCCCTGTCTCTATCTCCCTGGGGGAAGCAGGAGTCTAGAAGAATCAGATTCCCAGCCAGCACTGTGTTCATTCCATGTGTGGGGTGGAGAGGGTGTAGGCCCTTTGCTGGGGTAAGAGGGAGCCAACACAGACCCTGTTTTCATTAAAGCCTAGGAGCCTTCTGAGAAGGGAGGCCCCTAAGGAAAGAGATTTAGGTCTAAGGTGCAGACAGGACTGGGAAAATGTATTATCCTATCAGCCAAAGTATTTTCCCATTTCCCTGGTCACGTGCCATTCTTGGAGAGAGGGGATGAGAGGGAGGGAAAGAGCCAGTGGAGTGCTGGTAAGTGGCTCTCTAAGGAAAGAAAAAAAAAGTCCTGATTTGTAGCATTTGCTGATTTCTGTGGCGTGGAAACTCCCACCCATGGCTGAGTTCAAGCCCTCACCTGGCAAGCCAGTCTCTAGCCATACCATTGAAAAGAGCTGAGATTGAAAACCAAGGAATTTAAAACAAGGAGCTGTCTCATTAAAAAAATACTTTAAACTAGCACAGCTCTCATGCTTGTATATCAGAGTATAACATAAGGAAGGGGGAGGGAGTTTTAAGAGCACTTTGTCCCCTGGGGTAAGACAAGGAGAGGCTGCAAGGCCAGATCCTGCCCTGAAGCTCAAGCTGATCAGTCTTGGCAAACATTAGAGGCATTATGGCCACTGGGGAGTCCTTCCCTCTCACAGCCAGCTTAGAAATAGAAGAAAATGATACCCCAAAGATGAAGGAGACTATATTCCTAAGAATGTGTAAATCACTCCCAGGAGATTTCTTTCTTTTTTTTTTATTTATCTATTTATTTATTTATTTATTTGAGAGAGAGAAAACACATGCACTCGAGAGCCAGGGGAGGGGCAGAGGAAGAGGAAGAGAATCTCAAGCAGACTCCACGCTGAGCACAGAGCCCAAGGAGGGTGGGGGGTGGGGAGGCGAAGGCTTGATTTCATGACCCTGAGGTCATGACCCAAGTGGAAACCAAGAGTTGGACACTCAACCAACTGAGCCACCCAGGTGCCCCACCCCCAGAAGATTTCTAAAAAACGGTAAGAAGATAGATAATATGAAGCAGAATGGAGTTCCATCAGCAGGGACTTCAAAGTGGGATCAGATCCACAGCAAAATTCATCTACCCCTAAACTAATTTGGCAATTATCAATATTCATATAATTCTCAGTGGCCTCAATATGAAGATAAATGACTATTCATAGGAAATTTACTGAAACAAAGTTCATTCAAAATTGAAATGATCAGGGGCACCTGGGTGGCTCAGTCGGTTAAGTCTGCCTTAGGCTCAGGTCACCATCTCCAGGTCCTGGGATCGAGCCCCAAGTAGGGCTCCCTGCTCACCGGGGAGTCTGCATCTCCTTCTCCCTCTGCCCCTCCCCCCTGCTCGTGGTCTCTCTCGAGTGCTCTCTCTCTTACTTTCTCAAATAAATCAATAAAATCTTCAATACAAAAAAATGGAAATGATCAAATCTCTTGCTAAATATCTCTGGCCACAGTAATCCTAAAAAAAGCAAAACCCACTAACTGACACTAAATATTAAGTGGGTTGTTGCAATCACCAAATTATCCAATAAGCAAATGCTCGTGTAGTGTGTACAAGCCAAATGCCACCTAATCAGTGAGATAGAGTTGTTTTTCTGATGGTGGCAGTCCAGATTCTGTCCTGATGCTGAATCTTTGGTGAACTACAGATTCCTACGAAGTTGTTCAGCATTTAGAAGGTAAATAGAGGTCAAAGCAAATTAACTCAGACTAGACTGAACTCCTGACCTTGTTGTCATGAGCCCCAGGCTTTAATCAAATGAACTAACTAGCCTCGTCAGTGGATAATGAACCTACATGATAAAATTCTTGGCCAGGGAATCATAATACAATCCTCATTTATCTCAACAGATGCAGCTGAGATCTAAATGCGAAAACTTGTATTAATAGATTTTTGAATAAACTAGAATTTCACGAAGAACTTAAATTAAAAATAAATAATTTTTCTCTTAAAATACAATTAAGATAGATAACAGAGATCTGCATCTCTTTGCTGTCTTGGTAATCCATTGGGTGATAGTGAAACGTTACTAACAGAATCACTGTAGTTATAGCACAGGCCAAAGCTAGTTCTAGTTATTAGCAATTGCTGAGGAAGTATATATCCCTATAGAACATAAATGTGAATGTTAGATTTAGTTATGCTCTTGTGACTTGATCAAACCATACAAGTTAAGACTACTGTTTCCTTTTGTATTATTCTATTGCCTAGCATAAAAACAAATCATCAGTAAACTTGGTTGCTCTAAGATAAATAACATTTTCTTACAAAACAACTGAAATAATTTATCAATTTTTCAGCAACCAACCTGCAGTGGGTTAGTTATTTAGATGCTGGATATGTTAGTATGTGACTCTTACTAACAGAGGTACTTCTAATACAGAGGCTAAAATAAGAAATACACTATTATATTTTCAAATAATATATAGACACTGAAGACTGAATGTCAAAAAAGAAAACAATTAGTAGAAAAATCCATTGATTATAGACATGTTACATTTTTCATAAGCTGCAATCAGAGATCTTTTTAAGCCAAGGTCTTGTGATTTTGCTGCAATAATATATACCTGTCAGAAAAGAATATGGGCTTAAATGTGAATATGCTTGCTTTCCCTGAAGAACCTTGATCTCACTAAATACAGAAATAGCTCAATGAATAAATTGGATGGGTTCATGTGTTAGTGGAAGGTTTTAAATTTTTAAAAATATTTTTGCTTTCCATTTGTCCCTGGGATATATTAAAACAAATGTTCTAATCACAAAAAGACTGGCACCATTGCAGAACTCCCTCCTGCCCCTATGCCTTGTGATGAAAGGAAATATTTGATGGATGGGCTTCACTCAGCTCATTACAAATATGTTGTCAAGTCATGTAGGGCTTTCAGGTTGAAATTCAGAAGGAATAATAAAACAAAAGGAAGGACTAAAAAAAAAAAAAATCCCTGTTTACAGGCCTCAAATTAAAATGAAAAACTGCGTCACATCTTATAGTGTTTAAAAGTGTTATTTTTATTCTAACTCCCCAGAAAGGGCCAAGGCAGATCACTGGATTGTGTGTGCTACAACCCCAGTAGAAATATACGCGTCCAGTGGGGATACGACCTGTGGAAGAATTCAACATCTTGGACGAACAATCGTTTCAGAATTCAAAGCTGAATTCTTAAGTGGGAATTATCTTTAATAATGATCTCATCCAAATGTTAATGAAGGAGTGTGTGGCCCTTCATATAATTCTCAGTGGCCTCAGTATGAAGATAAATGACTATTCGTAGGAAATTTACTGAAACAAAGTTCATTCACTCTCACTAATGTGAGAGTTAGTATTCAGGAGTACCCTAGGAGATCGGTGGGGGGATTTGATCCAACGGACTTTGTGGCTCATGAAGAACAACTTGTCAAGGTTTACTTGAGATGGTTACAGAGCGAAGCCTACCTGACTCTGATACCAAGCCCTGAGTCTGGCTCCCTTGATTCTCTTCTTTGTGGGGCCTGCACACTCATTCTTACCTCTGGTTTTCATAAAAATAGGAATTCTCGCCTCTCAGACTCAGCCAATGACTATTTCGTGGAAAAAGTTGTTGTAAAGTAGGTGAAATGTTCCTGCAACTCCTCACAACCTCATCAACACCCTGCTTTCTCTCTGCCTTTTCCTTCCCCACCATCCGTCTCCAAAAAAGATAGCCTTATCTTTTTTCATTTGTAGTGGTTCTCAGTCCTGGGTGCTCCTTAGAACTGATTGCTTGTTTGGGTTGGGGTTTTTGTTGTTGTTAGTTTGTATGTTTGTTTTCTTTGTTTTTTAAAATACAGATGTCTGGGCTCTACCTCAGACCAACTGATTCAGAATCTCAGAGGATGCCCTAGCATTTAATATCTACCTAGCCGATTTTAATGTGTGACCAGGGAAGAGAACCACTGTAGCAGGCCATTAACTGAAAGCTAACAGGCAATGGTTCACAATCTTGGTTCAACAGTAGAATCATCTGAGGGAGTTTTTTGGGGGAAAAAAATGCCCAGGCTCTATCCCAGACCAGTTGATTGCGACTCTCCAAGAGTTTGGTCATCTATATTTTATAAAAGTTCTCTATGTGATTCTCATGTGCACCATGGTTGAGAACCACTGTTTCTAGTGTAAACCTTTGTGGTGGTATTTGCATTTTATAAACCTTAGTGATTCTAAGAAGTTGCTTTGATGATCAAACAAAAGTCTGGAGAGTGGCAGGGAGACATCTGTCTGTCTGTCTGTACCACCTCATGGCTCCTCTCCCTGCATTCCAATCCAAACCAAATTCTATAAATGGGTCTTTCTTTGTACTTATAGTTCCTTATGGTTCCCAACACACTATTTCAATTACCCAAAATTGTGTTGTGATGATAGTTTTGTCTTTATAGTTCTTTCCATGATTACCTCCAAACCTTTTTAGAGAAACTTTTTTTTGCATTTTTAGTTTGTATAAATATGTAAAATTGGGTAAGCTAAAAAACAAATAATATAATACTGTGTATAGCTAAGATTGAACTTTTATATAAAATAATTTACTTTAATTTGTATTTTCTATAAATTTCTCAGCATATAAGATAAAAGAGGGACGCCTGGGTGGCTCAGTCGTTAAGCGTCTGCCTTGGGCTCAGGTCATGATCTCAGGGTCCTGGGATCGAGCCCCGCATCGGGGTCCCTGCTTGGCAGGAAGCCTGCTTCTCCCTCTCCCACTCCCGCTGCTTGTGTTCCCTCTCTCGCTGTGACTCTCTCTGTCAAATAAATAAAA